AAAAAAAAAAAAAAACTGGTTCTGAAGAACCTAAGGGCAGGACAGGAATAAAGACACAGACATAGAGAATGGACTTGAGGACAAGGGGAGGGGGAAGGGTAAGCTGGGACGAAGCGAGAGAGTGGCACTGACATATATACACTAGCAAATGTAAAACAGATAGTGGGAAGCAGCCACAAGGCACAGGGAGATCAGCTCGGTGCTTGTGATCACCTAGAGGGGTGGGATAGAGACGGTGGGAGGGAGACGCAAGAGGGAGGAGAAATGGGGATACATGTATATGTATAGCTGATTCACTCTGTTATACAGGAGAAACTAACACACCATTGTAAAACAATGATACTCCAATAAAGATGTTAAAACAAAAACAAAAACTAGAAATAAAATCTAGTAAGTCTTCTATTTGGGACCGTATGAAGTGAAATTTCTGTCTGAAATATGTAAAGTACTATTTAAGTGTTTGCTATTAAGCTTACATTCTTCCAACAAGCAGTTACTGAACCGACATTATTTCCCACATTAGATATTTGGAACAAAAGGAACTCTTTATAATCTAGAGGAGAAGAGACAATTACAGTATAAACAAAAAATGAACCAGCTACTGAAGTAGAATAACTTCATCATTATTAATAATAATGATTAACTGTTCCCTCTCTATAAAGATAGGATAAGTACTATCATCAAGCATATTTTCTGGCTTAGTTTAAGTAAACAAAAGCTATACATATCACAGACTCATTAGGTGACTGTGCCAGAGCATAATTTGAACTTGAATAAGATCACTAAAAAGTGATCTTATGGAAGATCACTGAAGATATACACACTAAATGCTCTGATGCTACAAAGCTGGGCCTCACCTGGTGTTCTCTGCCCCAGTGAATGACACCACCCTTCATCAAAACAGGAAGGCAGAAATCTAGGGGTGATCCTTGGTACCTTCTCCACCTCTCCTCCACACTTTCCTTACATCCATTCCAGTACAGTGGTCAAGGGTGCTGGCCATGAGTCAGCTAAGAGTCTGCCACTTTCCCGCTTGGCAAGTCACTGAACCTCTCCGAACGTTGGCAAGTTACTGAACCTCTCCAAACCTCCTAATCTATGTAATTGAGATGGCAAACTCCCACATTTTATAGTTGCAATGAGGATTAAGTAAGAGAGTGTAGAACCTGCCACTTAGTAAACCTTCAATAAATGTTAGTGATCACTCATTACCCTACCAATGCATTACTACAGCTTATTGATTTTTCCTCCTCAATACGTGGCTGATCCGTCCATTTCTGTCTTTACTCCCCCATCTTGTAAGTACATGTTACCACCACCTCTCATCTGCACTACTGCAGGTCTCCCCTTTCTCAGATCCATACGCCACACTGCAGCCAGAGTAATTTTTCTTTTCTTTTTTTTTTAAACATCTCACTACTGCAGGTCTCCCCTTTCTCAGATCCATACGCCACACTGCAGCCAGAGTAATTTTTCTTTTCTTTTTTTTTTTAAACATCTTTATTGGAGTATAATTGCTTTACATTGTTGTTAGTTTCTGCTGTATAACAAAGTGAATCAGCTATACGTATACTTATATCCCCATATCCCCTCCCTCAGACTAATTTTTCAAATACACAAATCTGATTATGTCACTTGCTTTTCTCCCTTCGGTGTCTTTCCACTGCTCTGAAGATAAAGAATAAAAGCCTTAGTACAGTGAAAAGGCTCTGTAAGACTTGGCCCCTGCCTACCTCAGCAGCAGCATCTCCCCTCCCTGTCTGCACAGCGCTCCTTTTTGCCTAGAGTCTGTGCAAATGCTCCTTCCTCTGTCAAGGGCTCTCTTCTTCCTACCTCACCCGCCCGGATTCCTCTAGAGCTTCACTCAAACAATCCGTCCTCAAGAAAGCCTTTCGTGGCCCCCAATCTAGGTCTGATCACCCCTTTCCCACATTCCTACTACTCCATTCTTTCCTTCATACATTTATCACAACTATAATTAAATATGCAATTATTTGTTTAATATATGTCTCCCAAGCAGAAAGAAAGGGTCAGGAAGGGCAAAGTTCACCTAGGTGTGCCTAGTTCACTGCTGGATACATAGAGTGGGTGCTGAACAAAGAGAGGTTGTATTCTCTATTTCAAAGGGAAGAAAACTGAGGCTCAGGGAAGTTCAAAACAAAACTCGCCCAAGGTCATAGCAAATAAACTTAGTAGGGAGAAGAGCTCAGATTAGATGATTCTAAACTTCATCCTCCTTTCACCACAGCAGATCACTGTCTCTGTAACAGCATGAGAACTTTTCACATTAGAATGCCAAAGTTTAGAGGCAACAGAACTGAACTTGTCGATTTTTCTCCTTTGAAATTAATACATTAAAAAAAAAAGTCTTATTTAAATGGTAAAATTGTCATTAGCTTATTATTATTTCTGTATTAATCTTTCTCATATAAGGATTATAAAACAATGGATGATACTACATTAATAGAATTCATGCTATAAATTCAGTTACACCTGCATACATTTATAACACTTAGTTGTATGGTCTATATTACGTAACTATAGTTCAGATTATTTTATAGTAAAATATCTTTCTGAAAATAGAAAGGAATTACATTTGGGTATAGAGATGCAATACACTGATTTTACAAAAATGTACTAAGTGCATGGAGAAAAAATTAGATTTGTAATTTTTAAAAGAATCATTCCTTCAATTACAATTTCAAAAAAAGGAATACTGAAAATACTCTCAGCTTTCAAATATGATCAATATTAAACATCTCAGTGAAGATAATACCATTGTGCTTCAGTAAAAAAATAGAAAAGAACACAGAAACCCTGGGAACAGGCAGGAAGACCAAAGGGTGGGAGGGGGGAAGCATATCTAAGCTTAATCAACGATTATATTAAAAAAGTATATTATTTAATTGTCTTTCATTTAATATGAATGTGTGTTCCCATTTACTTTACCTGTAACCACCAATAAAGTGCCTCCAGATGTTTTCTACATAGTAATTATTCACATATTTGAATATGCTACTGAGAGACTGCTAAGGTCCCTCCCCTACTTTCACTAATCTCATTCAAATAAAAACCAAACCAATAACAGCTAATATCTATTTTAGTTTTATTCCTAAGAAGATCCTAGAGGCATAAATTAAGGAAAAACAGAACAAAATGAACTGTCCAACAATAGAATCAATATCTCTCACATATAAATAATAAGCAGGTAGGAAGGAAAATAAGACAGACTAGTTTTAGTTTATGTGGGATAATCCTGGGATATATTTAAACTGTTTGAGGGTAATGTTCATTTCATACATGAAAAGCAATGTATTTAGAAGGTCCAAGAAAAAAGTTCTAGGGTTAAGACTTGATGGAAAAGGCTGTATGAGAGCATCCTGATAATGTATTTTGCCTGGCTGACAAAATTAAAAAGCAACTGAAAAAAAGGTAAGGGCAACTCCACAGCCACAGGATTTAGGTAATGACTTTATATGCTAGAAATCTTTAAATCCTTTTTTTGACATAGTGCCCCTGTGCCTAAATTCAACGGAATTACATGATTCCACGAATGTTTTCATTACTATTTACTAAAAAGTACATGTAATATTATAAACCTGAAAGCTTTTAAATTGCTGACTTTTCCACACCCATTTCATAGGTATTTAAATATGTTACTAGTGCCAGACATTAAAATTACAGTTGACCCTGTGCAATGCAGGGGTTAGAGGTACCGAACCCCTATACAGTCAAAAATCCACATGTAACTTTTGATACCACCAAAACTTAACTTCTAAAAGCTTACTGTTGTCTGGAAGCCTTACTGATAACATAAATAATATATTAAAACATATTTTGTATGTTATATGTATATCTATGTATATTTTATGCATTCATGACACACCTAACTTTTTCTTAATTTTTGTGACTTTTCTAGGCTGTGCGGTTTGTCTGAGAGTTTTTTCAAATTGTCACAAATCTCCAAAAAGTTTTCCAATATATTTATTGAAAAAAAAATCCACATATAAGTGGACCCCTCAGTTCACACCTGTGTTGCTCAAGGGTCAACTGTGTTACAATTCTATTCAACATCATAAAGTAAGCATTAAGAATCCGCAAGACTGAGGAGAGCAAAAAGATTCTGGATTTCAAGAAGAACATGTCAAAAACTTAGTGTATTTATATGAAAAGGACCAATAAAGTTTGGATTATAAACCTGCTGTTTAATAGGATAGTTACTAGCAACATGTGGCTGCTGAGCTCTTGAAATGTGGCTGATCTGACAAAGAAACTAAATTTTTTAGTGCAATTAATTTTAATTAAAATTTTAAAAGTGATCCTTAATTTAGTTCCGAGAAAACTTTTAAGTATGTTTTGAACAACCTGGGTATGTGAATTTAATTTTTTAAATGTAAATTTTATGAAATTAAGTATAGATCAAGTACTTCTAATAAAAATTTAGTTTTTGAATGTGCTGTAAGTATAAAATACACAGTGGAATTTTGAAGACAGTACAAAAAAGAATGTAAAATATCTGACTAGTATTTTTTTATGTTACATCAGTTTTATATTGATTACATGTTGAAATGGTAATATATTAGCTCTAATGGGCCGTAAAATACACAATTAAAATTATTTTCACCTGTTCTATTTTTTTTTTTTTTTTTTACT